GACAAATCAGACAAACCGGAAGAGGTAGGTATAGTTTGAGACAGCGCCATTGGTTTGGGATTACTCACCGCTGACTGGACAAGACATCTGTCAATCAAAAAATACTGAGTGTTTATTTACATTTAGTTAAAAGTGGTTGTGGAACATATGCTACAGTGGCACAGATGGATATGTGCTTGCCCTTGGCTTTTTGATGCGATCGACCCGGATTCGATCCCGCCTTTTGCCGAGCTTTTTTTTCCTCCCTTTTCAAATCTCGTATTACATCGTAAAGGCATTTATTTTCAGTAAAAATTAAGGAAATAATCAAAAAGTTGAAAATAAAGTATCGGGTAGGGTTAGGGTAGGTGTAGGGAGGGCTTTATTGTACCAATATGGTGGCATCCATTTAATAATTAAAATTAAAATGATAATTTACACTAAATATGTTATTATTGCATACTGTTTTATAATGTACCACAATACTGAAGTGCAGATAATTGCCACTATTTGCAACAAGTAGTATACTTGATAGTAGAAATCCTGCTATTTTAACATAGTGTAACTAGGTATTTGCACTTAGTGTAAATAGCATATTGCTAAAAATACTGCTATTTTCACGTAGTGTAAATAGAATCCATTGCTAATACGAGATTTGAAAAGGGAGGGGAAAAAAAAGTTTCGCAAAAGGCGGGATCGAACCCAGGTCGATCGCGTCAAAAAGCCAAGGTCACGCAACTATCCATCTGCGCCACTGGAGTTGATGATTTACAACTTTTAACTAAATGTGAATAGACACCCCGTATTTTTTATTCCATAGTAAGGGCAATTCATACAATATATTTAAACTGAGCTACTTTAATACCATTTCCGAACTTTCTACAATGACTCTGCTGTTCTTCGGCTGGTTCTTCCCTGTATACGTTGATTGACAGATGTCTCGTCCAGTCAGCGGTGAGTAATCCCAAACCAATGGCGCTGTCTCAAACTATACCTACCTCTTCCGGTTTGTCCGATTTGTCGTTGTGTTTTCTGACTTCTACATTTGTTTTCGGATTTGTCGTTGTGTTTTCTGACTTGTTATTTTCTTTTCGAATTTGTCATTGTGTTTTCTGACTTGTTATACTGTTTTCTGAATTGTTGTTGTGCTTTCTGAAATGTTATTTTGTTTTTTAGACTTGCATTTGCGTTTGTAATTTGTTATTTTGTTTTCAGAATTGTGATTTGCTTTGCACTTCTCGGCCACCGTATCAATATGTATGATATCACACTATTTAATATAAATAAATTTGGAAAAAAAAATCTAAAAAAAAAATCTGATTTATACTTTATACAGAATTGTTTTGATTCTGCAAGCCTATTGTAGTAATTTTTGTGGTAAAATAAATAAATAAAAAGCATTAAACACAAGTGAAAGAACCCGCTAACCAATAGTGCACTCAGTAAATCTATTTTGCTATCGGACCCTTTTCAAATTTCCGGGTTTCTTAGCAGCGGAAGTCGTCATAGTTGGGTTAACTTGAAGTGCAGTGAATGGCAAATATACCACAAATATATTTTTTGCATTTTTTCCATATGCTCAAATAGCAAAAGAAAAACTCCACGATAGTGTTTTCATGACTTGCAATAAATTGAGAGACTGATAACGGTAGTCAGAAGAGAGGACGATGTCAAATTTACCGTCCCTTCCAAAGACGCTGCATTAGAAACACCCTTTTTTTGCAATTTGATGCAAAGGTGATATAATACAAAAAAAAGTGTTATAAATGTAGATACATTTAAAAACAAAAACAAAATATGATTTACGATGCTGATGACCATTAAACGCATCATCACAGTCTTGTGAAAAGGGTCGATTTTACGGTATACAGTGAATATGACAAACCGGACATAGTACAGCATAGTTTAAAATCAAGGCTTTAAAGTTGCTAACTCATACATGTAAAGTGACAGCACAACTCTCCATGGGTGCATTTGAGCCAGCTTTTAGCAAACTATGGTCACAAGTTCATTGAACTCTATTGGTAACAACAGAACTTGCAACCATAGCTGCTTTTGGGAAACGCACCCCTGTCCGCATCTAATTCACAAAGCTTAGATCCTTTTTGCATGGACAGAGCACTACACACAATATACAGTACATGCACTTTTAAACAGGCTACGCATTTGGCAAATTTGCCAAAGTTTGGGCATTAAGGGGTTTTTTCCACATGTATTCATTTATTTAGAAAGCAAGAACACATTGTCCGAACATATTGTTTACCAAGGCATGTTATTTTTAATTTGCTTCAGGAAATAAAAGACGACATGGAATCCTCAACTAGGAGTCACGCAATACCAGGTCTATCAAAGCTTCTTGCAAACCTTCATTTTTTGGTCTCCGGTTCTTTTCAACGTACTGTGGCTTCTTTGTTTCTTTATTTGCGACTATGCTAATTTGCACTGCGCTTGGTATATTGCATTGGTCGATATGGAAATGAAATGTTGCATCTGTGTTCTTAAAATTTGCACGTTAGTAAAAATTTCCCCTCCCATCTGCACTATTTTGGAATTTGCCCTGTTTAGTAAAACTGGCCCTAAATGTTTAGATATTCTTTAGATATTAGACTTAAGTATTACTGCGTTTGCCTTTCGATTATTAAACAGAACTGTTAAACAAAGGTAGTCTGAGCTTAGGTTCTGGGATCAGCATAAACATCCCGCTTCCTACTCAGCCATAAACCTATCGGCCAAACGTCAAATATTGGCCTTGATGATATATCGTAGGGCTGGACAATAATTCAATATCAATATGTATCGCGATATAATTTTTTTCAATAAAGGTGATATGATTTTTAAACATTTCCGATATTTCGATATGCATTAACAGTTTCCCATACATTGATTTATTTGTGCCGTTTGACTTCGTTGAATAAACATGAGCACTGCACGTTTCAAAATCATAACACGGCGTGGGTGTTTTATATGAATGTATCTCTGAAGGGAATTGACTATCTTCAGAAAAGTTTCGATGGCATTTTCATTTGATCTGATAAATTAGCATTCAGAGCGGAGCTGCCTTGTTTACAGCCATTACTGGGGAAAGCGCTAGTTTTATCACTCTAAAAGCGCCTCCTGCTGGCAAAATGAGTTTTCATTTTAAATAAGCCTGTCTCCAGCAACATTTCCATTTTTTCAGGATTCTTTGATGAATAGAAAGATCCAAAGATCAGAATTTATCTGAAATAAAAAGCTTTTGTAAAAGAAATTATAGAAATTAATACTTTTATTTAGCAAGGATGCTTAAAATTGATCAAAAGTGACGATAAAGGCATTTATAATGTTACAAAAGATTTCTATTTCAGATAAATAGTGTTCATATCGATTTCGGAATTATCTCGTATCGACCGAAATTAAGAAATATATTGTGATATCAATTTTGGCCATATCGTCCAGCCCTAATATATCGGTCAACCACTATTATGAGGTCCAAATTCTAAGCTTTTAAAAGTATCAAGTGAGTGATTTTTAATTACTTAGCTACTCCACTTTGAAAAATGGTAACTTCAACAGAATATCAACTGGTATTATTCAAACCAAAAACAGTATTTAGCATCACTTAATCACATTAATGTATACAAGCAAAACTAATTTTTATAGGTTACATGAGGTAGAAATATCAATTGCATTTTACAAGCACAGAAAACCAGGTTTACAGTGCAGACAAAAGGGTTAAAACACAAAAAGCAAAATGATAAATTATTGTTTCAGCCACAGCACGTTGTTCATTATCAGCCCAGAAATGTCCTACTGGTACATCCGTATTTGTGTGATTAAACTATGATAGCTATTACATCTTTTGAGTTATAACCTCAATAAACTAAGCAATTCCAAGAGGGTCTTCGCCCCATTGGTGCTTGGGCCCTAATTAAATTTAACTTTAGACAAATACTGGTTAAAATGTTTAAAATATCAAGACTTCTTACTTGGACTGGGTCTGCTTTGTGATGTTCTTTATAGTGAGTCCCTCTTTCCCAATGATGGCTCCCACAAACTGAGTGGGCACTAGGATTCGTAGAGGCACCTCTTGCTGACGATGCCTGGGCCCCTGGGGGCCTCCCATGGCCCCTGGCTGACCAAACTCCTGCTCCCGACTTCCTGTCCCCATTTTAGATGCCCCTCGTGGGACCTGGGGTCTTACACCCCTGTCCCTTCCTGCCTCCTCGTCCAGTATGTACGACACACTAAAGGAGTGATTCTCAAAACTGTGGCCTGTCAACTTCTCAACAGCCCTGGAGAAGAATGAGAGAGAAAGAGATCAGTCAATCATTAGATCAATCACTAGATCAAGACATATTTAACACAGACCCCAAACAACACTCGCAACGAGAAACAAAGTATTGGTTACATTGGGATAATGTATACTGTCATGAATGAATTACAAAAATTGATGGATTCCAACATTAAAAATCATTAATCACATAAATGTGTTTATTTCGCACATTTCGCATGACCTGCTGCTGCTATAGCCACCTCACTGCTAGGGTTGGGCAAATTTTAAGAACTGACGTTCGTTCATGAGGAATTTGAATTGAATTACCCACACCCTGCAGGCTGCCTTGGAATTTGAATTGAAATGACAAGAAGAGGTATTGCAATTCAAATAACGTGAACAGTCAAACAGTCACAAAGCAGAGCAATTTCATTAGTGCAACAAAACATATACTAACTGCACAACTAATTTTGACTTTATGCTTATTTATCTTTTGATGTGCAAAATACATTGTTAGATTAGACCCATATTTCTTTAAACTGTTGAATACGGTCAAATTAACAGAAACAGTAAACCTCCTTAAAACATCTATCATATTGTGTTCAGATATTTATAAAAAAAATATTCATTATAAAAACTGAATCTATTCACTTAAGCAAATTAAAGCATTCTTATATTACATGTTGCTTCAACATTATGCATAAAATTCATTTAGATTTTTGAAATATAATAATTATTTTATGCAAAATAATGAAATTAACTACCATTCATAGGTTTGGGGTCAGTAAGATTTCTCTGTTCACAAGGGCTGCATTTAATTGCTCAAAAATACAGTAAAAACAGCAAGATTGTGAAATGTTATTACAATTTAACATAACTATTTTCTATGTAAAGACATTTTAAAATGTAATTTGTTTCAGTGAACCTAAGCTGAATTTTCAGCATCATTACCTTCAGAAATTATTCTAATATGTTGATTTGCTGCTCAAGAAACATTTATTGTTATTATCAATGTTGAAAACAGTTTCATATTTTTGTGGAAACTGTGGTCAATTTTTTTTTCAGGATTCTAGAAAAAAAGGAACTTCAAAAAAGCTGATTTTATTTGAAATAGTAAAGATATTTATAATGTAATAAAATATTTGTCATTTTTGATCAATTTCATGACCCATGCTAAAATAAAAATAAAATCTGACTGATTCCAAACTTGTGAATGGTGCATATAATTTATAATGAAAAATAAAATGTAATGAAATTAGATTAAATTCTAGCTGAAATCAACTTCAGGAAATAAGCTAGTTCAACTCTGAACGGTGCACAACCCTGCTCACTACAAATGCTGATACAATTACCGAGCGCCGGTCTGTTGCCCTATGACAGGAAATAGTAAATCAGACAACTCACAGCACACACATACCCACCCACTGGGACAGACCTCCCTCAGATAAAAGCTCCAAAATAAGATCCCTGGAGACAAGACATCATCTAAACCCTTCTTCCACCACACACACATACATATTAAGATACATAAAACAAGGCACTGCCCAGTAAAACCACTTTTTACAACTGCAACCTACACTGTGATGGCTACTTGATTGATCCATTGTGACTAGTACTGCCATATAAATACAAACAGATCCGTTAACCTAATATCTGCATTATCCCGCGGGGAGAAAATCCCCATGTTCACTGATGTGGAACCACTTTAGAGATCTAAATTAGTTAACGGGAACATCTGATGGTACAGGACAGGAGGTCTGTGGTTTAAAGAGATGTTTGAAAGTGTGTGTGTTTGTGTGTTAGCCATATGAGAGAAATTTAGGGTTAAACACCAGCTGGCTTGGTGACTGGTTCAATACACACACACACACATACATTCACAGAGGACTTTTATCAGCTGCTGGGAACACAGTTACTATTGTTTGAAGCCAAGTGTTCAGTCAGGCATGAGCCCGGGAGCAAATATTCTCAGCATCTCTCAGCTGATGTCCATTCATTCACAATTGTAATGCTACAAATGCAACATCAACTATGTGAAGTGTTGTCAACCATTAGCTATGTCACCAAAGTACTGCAGATTTCAATTTTTTGGAATTGTTTGAATATCTGCATCAGATTTTGTTTGGTCAATAATCACTGAAAGTAGGACTTTTATATTGACAGCACCAGGACTTTTATTTTAACTAGTGCTGGGCAACGATTAATTTCGATTAATCGCATCCAAAATAAAAGTTTTTGTTTAGCCTATATAATATACTGTATGTGTGTGAACTGTGAATATTTATTATGTAGGCATATATATATATATATATATATATATATATATATATATATATATATATAACATATTTATTATATTAAACATTTTACACACC